AGGCGCCATGGGTTGTACTGCTGTGCCAGGCTAGGTGCATGAGGAGGTCACGTGACAGACCCTGCAGGTGCCATGGGTTGTACTGCTGTGCCAGACTAGGTACATGAGGAGGAGGTCACGTGACAGACCCAGCAGGTGCCATGGGTTGTACTGCTGTGCCAGGCTAGGTGCATGAGGAGGAGGTCACGTGACAGACCCAGCAGGTGCCACGGATTGTACTGCTGTGCCAGGCTAGGTGCATGAAGAGGAGGTCACGTGACAGACCCAGCAGGTGCCATGGGTTGTACTGCTGTGCCAGGCTAGGTGCATGAGGAGGAGGTCACGTGCCAGACCCAGCAGGTGCCGTGGGTTGTGCTGCTGTGCCAGGCTAGGTGCATGAGGAGGTGGTCACGGGACAGACCCTGCAGGTGCCATGGGTTGTACTGCTGTGCCAGGCTAGGTGCATGAGGAGGAGGTCACGTGACAGACCCAGCAGGTGTCATGGGTTGTACTGCTGTGCCAGGCTAGGTGCATGAGGAGGTGGTCACGGGACAGACCCTGCAGGTGCCATGGGTTGTACTGCTGTGCCAGGCTAGGTGCATGAGGAGGAGGTCGCGTGACAGACCCAGCAGGTGTGTGTCTGTGTGCCTCTGTGGGTGTCTGTGTGTGTCTCTGTGAGTCTCTATGGGTGTCTGCGGGTCTCTGTGAGTCTCTATGGGTGTATGTGTGTCTCTGTGAGTCTCTATGGGTGTCTGTGGGTCTTTGTGGGTCTCTGTGTGTCTCTGTGTGTCTCTGTGAGTCTCTATAGGTGTCTGTGTGTGTCTGTGTGTCTCTATGGGTGTATGTGTGTCTCTGTGAGTCTCTATGGGTGTCTGTGGGTCTCTGTGAGTCTCTATGGGTGTATGTGTGTCTCTGTGAGTCTCTATGGGTGTCTGTGGGTCTTTGTGGGTCTCTATGGGTCTCTGTGTGTCTCTGTGGGTCTCTGTGTGTCTCTGTGTGTCTCTGTGAGTCTCTATAGGTGTCTGTGTGTGTCTGTGTGTCTCTATGGGTGTATGTGTGTCTCTGTGAGTCTCTATGGGTGTCTGTGGGTCTCTGTGAGTCTCTATGGGTGTATGTGTGTCTCTGTGAGTCTCTATGGGTGTCTGTGGGTCTTTGTGGGTCTCTATGGGTCTCTGTGTGTCTCTGTGGGTCTCTGTGTGTCTCTGTGTGTCTCTGTGAGTCTCTATAGGTGTCTGTGTGTGTCTGTGTGTCTCTATGGGTGTATGTGTGTCTCTGTGAGTCTCTATGGGTGCCTGTGGGTCTCTGTGAGTCTCTATGGGTGTCTGTGGGTCTTTGTGGGTCTCTATGGGTCTCTGTGTGTCTCGGTGGGTCTCTGTGTGTCTCTGTGGGTCTTTATGGGTCTCTGCGTGTCTCTGTGGGTCTCTATGGGTCCCCGTGTGTCTCTGTGGGTCTCTGTGTGTCTCTGTGGGTCTTTATGGGTCTCTGTGGGTCTCTGTGTGTCTCTGTGTGTCTGTGTGTCTCTATGGGTCTCTGTGTGTCTCTGTGTGTCTGTATAGGTGTCTGTGTGTGTCTGTGTGTCTCTATGGGTGTATGTGTGTCTATGTGAGTCTCTATGGGTGTCTGTGGGTCTCTGTGTCTCTATGGGTGTATGTGTGTCTCTGTGGGTCTCTGTGGGTCTCTGTGTGTCTCTATGGGTCTCTATGGGTCTCTGTGTGTCTCTGTGTGTCTCTGTGGGTCTCTGTGTGTCTCTATGGGTCTCTTTGGGTCTCTGTGTGTCTCTTTGGGTGTCTGTGTGTCTCTGTGGGTCTCTATGGGTCTCTATGGGTCTCTGTGTGTCTCTGTGTGTCTCTGTGGGTCTCTGTGGGTCTCTATGGGTCTCTATGGGTCTCTGTGTGTCTCTGTGTGTCTCTGTGGGTCTCTATGGGTCTCTATGGGTCTCTGTGGGTGTCTGTGTGTCTCTGTGGGTTTCTGTGTCTCTATGGGTCTCTTTGGGTCTCTGTATGTCTCTTTGGGTGTCTGTGTGTCTCTGTGGGTCTCTATGGGTCTCTATGGGTCTCTGTGTGTCTCTGTGGGTCTCTATGGGTCTCTGTGGGTGTCTGTGTGTGAACACCTATGTTAACCACACTGTGTGTGAACACCTATGTTGACCAAATTGGCTCAACGTTGCATGTGTACTGGGTTTGAATTAAAATGTTGTTTACTCGATGGAGTAATTTCTGCCCCTTTATATTTATCAACGCTTTCACTTCACGTGATATTCCTCTGTTAGTCGTGGCTAATATCTTGTAATAAAATGTTTAGTCTACTTCCTGGTGTCTAATCAATTAAACATTTTGCACACTGTGTTAAAATTGGCGTGTTAATTGTTGTGTAAGGTGAAAAACGCCGCGGTCCCTAAACTGTGGAATCGGCTCACACACCAATCAGGCGCCGGGTGCCTCAGGCGTGCCTGCTTCGTGTGGAGCATAACTCGAAATAAAAAAATAAGTACATTAAAGATTAATTAATAAAGCAATCAATAAAAATCGGCATCAATCAATTGAGCGTTTCTTTAAAAGCAATGACATTTTTTTAATGGACGTCTTATTATTTAAATATTGCTTTGCGAGAATCAAGAACGCCGCGGTCCCTAGACTCTGGAATCGCCTCGCGCACGAAGCAGGCGCCACTGACGCGGGAACTTGTCAACACGCGGTGAGCGTGGAGCTCAAGTATCGAAACTACAAGTTTTATTATTCAACTTCATTCCTCTCTGTGTGTGTGTCGCGCTCAAGGCTCGTGGTCGAAACGTCGTCCACTTCCACCTTTCAATAAAAAATGTAAAAAAAAAAATAATAATAAAAATGTATTTAAAAAAAAATTTTATTCAAAAAATTAAATTTTAAACATTTTTGTACAATTTTTTTAAAGGAGTTTATTTTAGTGGGTTTACCTATACAGTGCATGGGTCTCCTTGCATATCTAAACTATATTTATTGGTTCAACAACAACGAGAACACACGAGCTGACGCGAGGTCTGGCCTTGCGTAGTGAAGTGTTGCTGCGTGTTGTTGTTAAATTGCCTACACATTAGATTTAATGGATATTATTATTATTATTCCGTACAAACTTTGCTTTTGTGAGCAGGACTTTACGTGATGGGATGAGACAAATGCACGCCGCGTCTTTTTTTTATTTAAAATTGTTAAATGTATAAATATCAATGTCCTGGGTCACAGAAGCAAAGTTTTTGGGGAGAATTTATTTAATTTTTATTTATTTTAAATTTATTTTAGTATTTATTTATACCTACGTGATTTTAACCTCAGATTATGAATCCTTATAGTCACGAAAGCTTAAAATCTAGAATTTGTGGAGCTTAACAATATCCCACTTTCTCTACTAGTGAGTCACTAGCTACTAGGCAGTAACACTCTCCCACTAAGGGTCAATGTTGTCACACTGTTGTTAGTGGAGTGGATTGTTCACTCAGCTTGTGTGTCCTGGGTCACAAATACAAAGTTTGTGTGGAGTATTAAGAGCCACTTTCTCTACTAGTGAGTCACTAGCTACTAGGCAGTAACACTCTCCCACTCAGGGTCAATGTTGATGTCACACTGTTGTTAATGGAGTGGATTGTTCACTCTGCTTGTGTGCTGGGTCACAAATACAAAGTTTGTGTGGAGTATTAAGAGCCACTTTCTCTACTAGTGAGTCACTAGCTACTAGGCAGTAACACTCTCCCACTCAGGGTCAATGTTGATGTCACACTGTTGTTAATGGAGTGGATTGTTCACTCTGCTTGTGTGCTGGGTCACAAATACAAAGTTTGTGTGGAGTATTAAGAGCCCACTTTCTCTACTATTGAGTCACTAGCTATTAGGTAGTAACACTTTTTATTAATAAAAGTAAAATAAAATAATTATTTTATTTTAAAATAATTATTATAATTATTTATTTTAAAATAATTATTTTATTTTACTTTTATTAATTTTAATGTTTTGCCTACGTGACTTTACCGAAAAAACCTAAAAATATGAAAGTAAAATAAAATAAGTATTTTATTTTACTTTTATAATTTTATAAATTTTATTAATAATAAAAGTAGAATAAAATAATTATTAATAAAAGTAAAATAAAATAATTATTTTATTTTACTTTGATTAATTTTAATGTTTTGCCTACGTGACTTTACCGAAAAAAACTAAGAATATGAAAGTAAAATAAAATAAATATTTTATTTTACTTTTATTAATTTTATTAATAAAAGTAGAATAAAATATTTATTTATTAATAAAAGTAAAATAAAATAATTATTTTATTTTACTTTGATTAATTTTAATGTTTTGCCTACGTGACTTTACCGAAAAAAACCTAAGAATATGAATCCTTGCAGTCACGAAAGCTTCAAATCTAGAATGTTTTCGTCACTGAATTATCTCCACACATGTTCTGCTCTTGGTTGTGGCGCGGGGTCTTTGGGGCCGTCCATAAATGACGTCACGCACCTGGGGGTGGGGGTCAGACATTTGTGACGGTGGGGGGTGGGGTTGAGAAATGTGACGTCACATCAAAATGCGTAAATTTAAATTTAGAATTGTTTTATTTAAAGCTTTCGTGACTGCAGGGATTCATCTGGTTATAAGGTCGGTCGGCTACAGACATCAGCAGTCGGAGTTCATCACGACCACGGTGGTGAGATGTTGACTCCCTCGCCCGGTACACAAGCGCTCGTGGGTTCGATCCCTCGTACCAGGCGAGGAAGTTAACATCTCCCAGCCACCGTGATGATGACGATGAGTGAGATGTTGACTCCCTCGCCCGGTACACAAGCACTCGTGGGTTAGATCCCTTGTACCAGGCGAGGAAGTTAACATCTCCCAGCCACCGTGATGATGACGACGATGATGAGTGAGACATGACAACTCACAATATACAGCAGCAGCAGCAGCGGGCATCGTCGGGATGGAACCCACGACCTCTTGCGTACCGTGCGAGGTGTGTTGACATCGTCACCCCCGCTGCGCTTCTCTTCTGCACAGAGTCGCTGGCCGTGAGAACTCCGATGGGTTCCGTCTCCCCGCCGCCGATGCTGCTGCTGCTGGGACTCTGCGCCTTCGCACAGCTGGGGGCAGTCGCCAGCGCCGCCTGGTGGTAAGCGCCGCTGTCTTCCTCGTCACTCCTCCGCTGCTGCGATGAGCGCGACACGTTTCTGAGTTTATTTATTTATGAGCAACCTTACCTAACGTCTTGCACACACACGCCCCCCGTACACCTGGTAGCGGGCAGGGCTTTCGTGACCAATATCATCCACAAGAGTTTTTTTGCGGGGGGGGTTAGATCGCGTAAATGTATAAATGTCATTAAAAATGTATCTAGCCACCACGATGATGAGAGAGAGACGCAAACTCCAAATATACAGCAGCAGCAGGCGGCAGGGTTGGGATCGAACCCACGACCTCCTGCGTACCAGGCGAGGTAGTCAACATCCCCTAGCCACCGTGATGATGAGAGAGAGAGAGACGCGCAAACTCCAAATATACAGCAGCCGGCATCAGGGTTTGGATAGAACCCACGACCTCCTGCGTACCAGGCGAGGTAGTTAACATCTCCTAGCCACCGTGATGATGAGAGAGACACACAAACTCCAAATATACAGCAGCAGGCGTCAGGGTTTAGATCGAACCCACGACCTCCTGTGTACCAGGCGAGGTAGTCAACATCCCCTAGCCACCGTGATGATGAGAGAGAAAGACACACAGACTCCAAATATACAGCAGGTATCAGGGTCTGGATAGAACCCACGACTTCCTGCGTACCAGACAAGAGAGTTAACATCCCCTAGCCACCGTGACGATGATGAGAGAGAGACACACAGACTCCAAATATACAGCAGCAGCAGCAGGCATCGTCAGGGTTTGGATCGAACCCACAACCTCCTGCGTACCAGGCGAGGTAGTCAACATCTCCTAGCCACCGTGACCCCCCCCACCTCCCACCCCTCCTCTGCAGGTCGCTGGCAATGTGGGTCCCCCCGGCAGTGGACCCCTCGCAGCGTCCGCTGCTGCTGTGCAGCGTGGCCCCGGGGCTGTCCCCCGCACAGCGCCACGTCTGCCGGCAGCAGCCGCACTTCGCGAAGCTCGTGGTGGACGGCGCGCGGCTGGCGATCGCCGAGTACCGGCACCAGTTCCAGGCGAAGCGCAAGCGCAAGGCGCCGTGCACGGAGGACGGGCTGGTCCCTTTGGCTCGGGCAGGTAAGGAGATCGTCGCCCGGGTGAGAGTGCACGGAGGACGGGCTGGTCCCTTTGGCTCGGGCGGGTAAGGAGATCGTCGCCCGGGTCAGAGTGCACGGAGGACGGGCTGGTCCCTTTGGCTCGGGCAGGTAAGGAGATCGTCGCCCAGGTCAGAGTGCACGGAGGACGGGCTGGTCCCTTTGGCTCGGTCGGGTAAGGAGATCGTCGCCCGGGTCAGAGGCGGCTTCGAGCCTCTGCCGGTGACGGGCGGGTTTGAGCGACGGGCGCTAGGCAGGCGCCGTAGCGAGCCGTTCTACGTCACTAGAGTAGCGTGGCAGTGTGCGGTGCGTAGTGTACTACACACTACAGTAGCGTAGTAGTGTGCGGTGCATAGTGTACTACACACTACAGTAGCGTATCAGTGTGCGGTACGTAGTGTACTACACACTACAGTAGCGTGGCAGTGTGCGGTGCGTAGTGTACTACACACTACAGTAGCGTAGTAGTGTGCAGTGCGTAGTGTACTACACACTACAGTAGTGTAGTAGTGTGCGGTGCGTAGTGTGATGTGTCCTGAAAGCACCCAACGGGGTGACCGTCTCTGTTCGACGGTGACCCCTTCAAGTTGGGGTTGGTCACCCTGCCCAAGTGTGGCCCAGGCAGTCCCCAGGTATGAAGCCGTGTCTTGTGTCTCACAAGGTGCTTGCTCATCATCAAGGTTTTGTGTTAGATCGCATCAACGTGAATGCTGCGGTGTCTACCCGCCACCATCCGACACGGCCAATTCAGTTTGGTTTAGAGCAGGGGTCGGGAACCTTTTTGACTGGGAGAGCCATAAAAGCCAAATATTTCTATATATATTTCATTGAGAGCCATATAGTATTTTTAACGTATGATAAATTAAAAATGTCTTACTTTTAATGCGACGTCTGGTGCTGCATAGTTTTGCTGATGGCCTTGTAGTCTGGTTTATACGTGGTGAGGTTGAGCTTCGTGCAGGCGCGGCCCGTGAAATTTATCTTCAAAACTAATTTCTGTTTACTTTAAAATGACACACTATTATTAAGCAAATATCACAAGTATTTTAAAATCAGTTCCAAACTGATTTTTTTTCTTTTTTCAACTCAAAATTGCCTGGGAGCCATATGTCGTCACTGGAAGAGCCATATATGGCTCGCGAGCCATAGGTTCCCGACCGCTGGTTTAGAGTGTCGCTTAAATAGAATGTGGCCAATCCCTCTTGAAGACCGAAGGACAATTTCTTTACAATCGTGGCTATCGCCCGTGACGGCGGTTGTTGTCCCCTCGGCGAAAGATCGCGAGACCCGCGTTGTAAATGTGGCGGAGAATTTACTTTCCAACACACGGCAACAGGTCAGTGCTGTACCAGGGTAACGAGCGCGTTAGGCTTAGGGTTAGTATTCTTAGGTTTTTTTCGGTAAAGTCACTGTGTAGGTAAAACATTAAAATTAATAAAAGTAAAATAAAATAAAAATCACGACGTTTCGGAGGCAACACAAGCTTCCGTCTTCAGGTGGAACCGTCACAGCCAGATTTGCTGCATCAAGTGAGGCAATGATTCAAGATTGCCTCACTTGATGCAGCAAATCTGGCTGTGACGGAGACTTGTGTTGCCTCCAAAACGTCGTGATTTTTATTTTATTTTACTTTTATTACTTTTAATGTTTTACCTACATTGGTGACTTTACCGAAAAAACCTAAGAATATGAATCCTTGCAGTCACGAAAGCTTCAAATCTAGATTAGGGTTAGGTTCAGATGGAACCGTCACAGCACGACAGCTGTATCAAGTGAGGGAAATTCCAAGAACACAGTCCTTGTGTATATATACTGGTTGAGGGTGGGAGGAGCTAAGGGTAGGCCCTGAATATTATTGTTGTGAGGTTCGGTGCGGCTGAAGCACGCTGTTAGGAATGAGCCTTTGTTGTGTAAACTAAGGTGCGGATGATTTTAAAGGTGCGTCTAAATGGGACTGAGCCTTTTGTTATGTAAAAGTGGTGCGGCTGAAATCGTTGCCAAGAATGAGTCTTTGTTGTGTAGAATGGTTGAACTGGGAGGTTCCAAGAGTTGTTAAGGTGCGGCTGATGTAAAGGTGCGGCTGCTGTGAATGGGACTGAGCCTTTTGTTATGTAGAGGTGGTGCGGCTGAAATCGTTGCTAGGAATGAGTCTTTGTTGTGTAGACTGGTTGAACCGGGAGGTTTCAAGAGTTGTTAAGGTGCGGCTGATGTAAAAATGCGTGTAAATGGGACTGCGCCTTTTGTTATGTAGAGGTGGTGCGGCTGAAATCGTTGCTAAGAATGAGTCTTTGTTGTGTAGACTGGTTGAACTGGGAGGTTCCAAGAGTTGTTGAGGTGACGTTTCTATTTCGGCGATCTACGCCAGAAAAACAAACAACCTCCATTATAGACAAATGATCAAATTGTTTTGTGGGTGGGGGGGGGTGGGGGGGCGCAGGCTCTCGCGAGGCCGCCTTCTTCTCCGCCCTCACCGCCGCCGGCGTGGTGCACGCCGTGGCGCGCGCCTGCAACACGTCGGAGGTGATCCGGCAAAACTGCACGTGGACCTACCAACCCTGGTTGCTTCCCGGAGACAACGTCAAATACGGACGCCATTTCGCCAAGTTGTTCTTGGACGCGGGCGTCAAAGACCGCTGGAGGCAAGGAGGGCGACGCAAGTCTTTGTCGAAGTTCCTCCTGATGGAACTGCACAACAACGAAGCGGGCCGGCGGGTGAGCGAGCGGGCGGTAGGGATTGTCGTGAGGAATGTTTTTTTTACGGGAAAATTAACTCACAGCGGCCTAAAGCCTACAGCTAGGCCTAAAGCCTAGAACTAGGCCTCAAACTCTCCCTTCGTATCGTACCCCCGCGTGTGTGAAAGGGAGTTAATGTTTCACAATGTTACATTCCCTGATGTTTTTAAATAGAAACATTTACATTTAAAGCTTTTACATTAACAATTAAAACATTTAAATTTAAAATTAACTCACAGCGGCCTAAAGCCTACAGCTAGGCCTAAAGCCTAGAAGTAGGCCTCAAACTCTCCCTTCGTATCGTCCGATTAGGTGTAGCAACATCGCCCCCTACTGCAAACACTTGGCAGGACCCTACAAAAACCTTTACACTCAGTGAGGCTTTCCTGGCTAAACAAGTGTAATAATACATTATGTTTATATTCTTTGGTTACTCGTTCCTACCAGCCCACCCCGCAGGGTCCTGTTACGGGAAAAAGTATCGTTTTGTAATAACACGCTGGAGACGGCTTGTGGAATCGGTCCTTTTATTTCACTTCTTGCAGCTCACAAACACTCCCCGTTGCTGGCAGGCAACGGGAAGCGGGCAGACAGACACCAGAGACCCACCGCCACGTGGCACCCGGAGCCCCACTCGCGCGTGGCCCCTCTCTCTCCCTCTCTTAGTTCCGTGTCTGACCCCGTGTCTCTCCTCTCTCTCCTTATTTAACGCCTGGGTCACGTGGTACCCTCCAGCCAATCCTCAACAGCCTGCGCCGAATGTTCCAGATCCCCCCCACCAGGCCCCGACTTGTCTTCCCATTGGCTGAGGCCAAGACCAGCAGAACCAATCACCTGGCTGACATCCCGTGATCACGCCGGGGCCATGCTCCCAGGCTCTCCCCCCATTGGCTGTAGAGCGGGACCGGCAAAGCCGATCGCCACGTGAATCCGACGTAGGCTCTCATTACATCACCCCCTTTGTGAAATGCTGCACATGTATATAGTTGGGCTTGGTTGTCTAGGGGTTGTATTTCAGACGCTGTCGCCTCGACGGACCCGGTTTCACCTGAGGACGGCTGCTTGCGTTGTGGCCGAAACGTCGTGAGAATTATTTTATTGTGTTTTATTTGTATTATTTTATTACTTCCATTCTTCGTAACTTTACCGACAGACCTGTTCTCCACCTGAGGACGGCTGCTTGCGTTGTGGCCGAAACGTCGTGAGAATTATTTTATTGTGTTTTATTTGTATTATTTTATTACTTCCATTCTTCGTAACTTTACCGACAGACCTGTTCTCCACCTGAGGACGGCTGCTTGCGTTGTGGCCGAAACGTCGTGAGAATTATTTTATTGTGTTTTATTTGTATTATTTTATTACTTCCCTTCTACGTGACGACTTTACCGAAATAACCAAGAAGATGAATCCCTGCAGTCACGAAAGAAGCTTTAAATCGAAATTTAGGGGTTGTATTGTTCAACAGTTCTGCTGCTGCATCTTGCCACCTGCCCGGGTTGCGGTCAAGGGATGGCTCCGTATTGCTCAACCACGTTTATGCTGCTGGCTGAAACTGGAGCGTGCCACTGAGAGGGTGGGGCCTTGCCTCCCCCTTACAGCCCCACCAAAACTAAGCACCCGCCTGGGTATTTTGTACCATCGGACACTCCACAACTCTCAATTGGTGATGGGGCAGTTGTGGAGAGTTTCCCGTAGCTGGGCAGTGTGCCTATGACCAGCTCTGTGGCAGAAGAGTTCTCAATCAATCGAGTGGCATTATCTTTGCATCGACTGCACCATGCTTTGCGGAAGCTACCTGGTCTGTTGCTCCACACAAAGCTTCGGGTCTTCTTGGCCATGGTCATGCCCTCTACGCTTGCAAAACATGGACCCCCCCCCACCCCCCTATCTGCTTAGAAATATTTCAGGCTGGCCTGCCTCCAATCCATTCTGAGTTTAACCAACAGGCTGGATTGTGTGAGGAGCTCACAAATCCTTGAAAGATCTTGACAAAGTCCCATTGAGCTCCTCCGGCAGGCAAGGCTGCGTTGGCTGGGCCATGTAGCCCACATGCCCAGCCACTGCATGCCTATAACCGCTTTGGTTTGGCCGGATAGAGGGTGATAATTGATTTATTTTACCCTTTTATCTGGAAACAAAACTGACACCTTTTTTACAAGGAGTCATGTTTGCATGGACCACAATACCTGCGGTCGGAATGCAAACAAAAACCACAACTCTGATAATGTATGCACTGTCCTTGACATTGATTTGTGTCCACACCCAAGACAGCTTTTCTTAGAGCCTAGTCTCACATGGTGTTGGACCAGACGACGCCAAAAGGCGCACAACTCAAAGACAATGCACCATCAGAGTATCAGAGCTCGGGGTAAGCATTTACACCATTGCAACCTCATTTGCCAGTTGCCAGATAAAATGGTAAAAAAACAATTATATTTTGCTACTGGCAAAGGAGGTTCGAACGGATCGGGGGTGCTTAAAGGGCGCGGCACGGGCTAGAGAAGACATGAAGTGATGTGGTACAGGAGGACGTGGAGCTGAGTGGACTTGCCGATGACCGGTACCAGCGGTGTCAAGATCGGCCTCTGTGGAGGAGGCTCGTGAAGGACGCTACTGGGCAGTCGGAGGCAGTCGCCCTCCAACAACAACGGAGGGCGGAGGAGCGACGCTCACAACAACGAGCGGAGCGCCGGGTGGCTAAAGCACAGCAAGTTGGCACAGTAGGGGGCACAGGTGGTGCATCAGCCAGTCATCTCGGTCATCTCGGTCAGTCGACCCGTGGCACCTGCTGGGTCTGCCCCGTGACCTTCTGCCGACGCTTCACGTGCACACAGCCTGGCACAAGCTCCGTCGTGGTGACATCACCGCCACTTATTGGCGAATGGCGATTGGCAGTGACATGACGATGGTGTTGGTGGTGACAATGATTGTGGTGGTAACAATGACGGTGACGGTGGTGGTGGTGACAATGATTGTGGTGGTAACAATGACGGTGACGGTGGTGGTGGTGGTGGTGGTGTTGGTGGTGGTGACAATGATTGTGGTGGTAACAATGACGGTGGTGGTGGTGGTGACAATGATTGTGGTGGTAACAATGACGGTGGTGACGGTGGTGGTGGTGGTGTTGGTGGTGGTGACAATGATTGTGGTGGTAACAATGACGGTGGTGACGGTGGTGGCGGTGGTGGTGTTCGTGGTGACAATGATTGTGGTGGTAACAATGACGGTGACGGTGGTGGTGGTGTTGGTGGTGACAATGATTGTGGTGGTAACAATGACGGTGACGGTGGTGTTGGTGGTGACAATGATTGTGGTGGTAACAATGACGGTGGTGACGGTGGTGGTGGTGGTGGTGGTGTTGGTGGTGACAATGATTGTGGTGGTAACAATGACGGTGACAGTGGTGGTGTTGGTGGTGACAATGATTGTGGTGGTAACAATGACGGTGGTGGTGGTGGTGGTGACGGTGGTGGTGGTGGTGGTGGTGGTGGCGTTGGTGGTGGTGGTGGTGACAATGATTGTGGTGGTAACAATGACG